GGTGATGGGAGATAGATGGGGACAGGGGAACTGGGGTGGCACAGGTGATGGGTACAAGGTGGAGACAGGGGAACTGGGGTGGCACAGGTGATGGGTACAAGGAGATGGGGACAGGGGAACTGGGGTGGCACAGGTGATGGGCACAAGGTAGGGACAGGGATGGGCACAAGGAGATGGGGACAAGGTGGGCACAAGGTGATGGGGGTCACATAGGGTGATGGGGACAGTGTGATGGGGACAGCACAGGGTGATGAGGACAGGGGCAGGGGGTGGCACAGGGTGATGGGTACGAGATGGGGACAGGGATGGGCACAAGGAGACGGGGTTAAGGTGGCCACAGGGTGATGGTAAGGGAGAGGTCACAGGGGGATGGGGACAGGAATGGGCACAGGGTGATGGGAACAGGGTGTGTACATGGGGATGGCACAGGGACGGACATGAAGAGATGGTTATGGGGTGGGCACAGGGGGATGGGGACAGGATGGGGACAGAAACAGGCACGGGGTGATGGGGAGGGAGAGGGCACAGGGGTGGGCATAAAGTGGGGACAAGGATGAGCACAAGGAGATGGGGACAGGGGAACCGGGGTGGCACAGGGTGATGGGTACAAGATGGGGACAGAGGAACTGGGTTGGGCACAGGGTGATGGGGACAAGATGGGGACAGGGATGGGCACAGGGTGATGGGGATCACACAGGGTGATGGGGACAGGGGGACGGAGGGGCACAGGGTGATGGGGACAAGATGGGGACAGGGATGGGCACAGGGGAACAGGGGTGACACAGGGTGATGGGGACAAGATGGGGACAGGGATGGGCACAGGGAGATGGGGGTCCCACAGGGCGATGGGGAGGGAGAGGGCACAGTGGTGGGCACAGGATGGGGATGAGTTGGGAACAGGGGTGGGCACGGGGTGATGGAGTGGGTACAGGGGAGCGGGCACAAGAAGATGGCGATGGAGTGGATGGGGTCAGCATGGGGCCAGGGATGGGCACAAGGAGATTGGGATAGGGTGGACACAGAGGGGGGGACAGGATGGGCACAAGCAGATTAGGATGGGGTGGGGACATGGGGATGGGGTCAACATGGTGTTGGCCCAGAGATAGGCACAGGGGGTGGTTATGGGGTGGGCACGGGGCAACGGGGTGGCACCAAGATGGGGACAGGGAGATGGGGACAGGGTGGGCACAGAAAAGGATGGGGTTGGCACAGGGATGGACATGAAGAGATGGTTCTGGGGTGGGCACAGGGGGACGGAGATGAGGTGGGTACATGGTGGTTGGCACAGGGAGATGGGGGTATCAGAGGAAGCCAGAGGGACAACGGGGACCTTGGGGTGACAATAGGGACGCAACGGATGGGTGATGGGGACCCCAGGGTATCAGAGGAAGCCAGAGGGACAACGGGGACCTTGGGGTGACAATAGGGACGCAACGGATGGGTGATGGGGACCCCAGGGTATCAGAGGAAGCCAGAGGGACAACGGGGACCTTGGGGTGACAATAGGGACGCAACGGATGGGTGATGGGGACCCCAGGGTATCAGAGGAAGCCAGAGGGACAACGGGGACCTTGGGGTGACAATAGGGACGCAACGGATGGGTGATGGGGACCCCAGGGTATCAGAGGAAGCCAGAGGGACAACGGGGACCTTGGGGTGACAATAGGGACGCAACGGATGGGTGATGGGGACCCCAGGGTATCAGAGGAAGCCAGAGGGACAACGGGGACCTTGGGGTGACAATAGGGACGCAACGGATGGGTGATGGGGACCCCAGGGTATCAGAGGAAGCCAGAGGGACAACGGGGACCTTGGGGTGACAATAGGGACGCAACGGATGGGTGATGGGGACCCCAGGGTATCAGAGGAAGCCAGAGGGACAACGGGGACCTTGGGGTGACAATAGGGACGCAACGGATGGGTGATGGGGACCCCAGGGTATCAGAGGAAGCCAGAGGGACAACGGGGACCTTGGGGTGATAATGGGGACCCCAGGGTATCAGAGGATGCCAGAGGGACAACGGGGGCATTGGGGTGGGGGACCCTGGAGGTGGATGACGGGGACCTCAGGGTATAAAGGGATGGCAGGGGGACAACGGGGACCTTGGGGTGACAATGGGGACCCAACGGGTGGGTGATGGGGACCCCAGGGTATCAGAGGAAGCCAGGGGGACAACGGGGACATTGGGGTGGCAGGCCCTGAAGGTGGATGATGGGGACCTCGGGGTATAAAGGGATGGCAGGGGGACAACGGGGACCTTGGGGTGACAATGGGGACCCAACGGGTGGGTGATGGGGACCCCAGGGTATCAGAGGAAGCCAGGGGGACAACGGGGACATTGGGGTGGCAGGCCCTGAAGGTGGATGATGGGGACCTCGGGGTATAAAGGGATGGCAGGGGGACAATGGGGTGACAATGGGGACCCCAGGGTATCAGAGGATGCCAGGGGGACAACGGGGACCTTGGGGTGACAATGGGGACCCCAGGGTATCAGAGGATGCCAGGGGGACAACGGGGACAAC